TTAAAGTTTTAATTGCAAATATGAGACATACCAAAATGAAATATTTTTAACTATCTTGCTAAAAAAAATAAAAAAATAAAACTCTCTTAGGCCTGTTTTCATCATTGACTGAACTTATCTGAACTGAACTGAACTAAACTGAACTAAACTGAACTGAACTGAACTTAATATTTTATAAGAGAAGGAAATTAGGAGCTGAACTAAACTGAATAGCACTGAACTAAACTGAGCTTAACTGAACTGAACTGAATTTCAACGTATGAGAACGGAACCTTAGTATCAAAGTAAGATATAAAGACATAATAATGGGAGAAGCTATAAAACGATCTTATCACCAAAAATAAAATCTCTAAATCTAACACTCTTGTGAAGTACTCCCTCCGTTTCAGAATGATGTTTCTGCTTACGTTAATCGATGCACGTTTTTTTTCAATTTTTGACCGCAAATATCTTTAATCTCACACTAAAAATAAAAGTTAGATATTAATAATATACTCATCAAGATGAATCAAACGAGATCCCACATGATTTTATTTGTTCTTATATAATGAGATAAATTTATTAGAATATTCTATCATACTCCCTCCATTTTTTAATACTTGCTCCATTTCTCCATGCGTGGAGTTTTAGGAGAAATTGGAGAAAGTAATAAAATATGGAGGTAGTGGGGTAGTTGAGAGAATAAAAACTTGTAAAAAGCAAAAGTAATGGAAGAGTAGGAAAAAAGAGAGTATTATGTTGGGTCCATTAAGTGTGAGAAATGATTTAAATATTGTAAAAACTTTCCAAAAAAGAAAATGGAGCAAGTATTTAAAAATAGCCGGAAAAGGAAAGCAGAGCAAATATTTAAAAACGGAGGGAGTATTTTTTAAAAGTAAAAAATTCCAAACAATAACATCATTGTGGAATGGAAGGAAAATTTTAAGACCCTATAGCAGTAATAGCACTAAGCTTCATCGATATTTAAGTAGTAAAATAGAAGTTATATACCTAGTATAATGTTTTGAAAATTTTGTGTAGAATTACCCTAAAGATAGGGTCATTTGTGAACAACTACCCATTTTTTTTATTTGTTTAGAACTACTCACAAGTTTAAAAACATTTTGATAGCACTACCCATTAACATTTTTCGTCCAATTAAGACATTATCGGAGCCCAATTTTTTCACTATTTCCACCCAATTAACTCTCCTAATTTGTATAAAAGTTTTAATTTACCTTAATTAACCTAATTAAGGTTTTAATTAGAATTCATTTTAGGGTTCATGAGTTTAGTATTATTTGGGAATTTTGAATTCTAAGGTTTGGGGGTTTAATTGAATTGGAGTTTTTGCTTATTTAAGCATTAATTGGCCATTGTAATTGATAAAAGTGAAAAATATAGCCAAAATAACGTTTTAATTGGACGAAAAATGTTAGTGGGTAGTGCTACCCAAACGTTTCCAAACTTGCCGATAGTTCTAAACAAATAAAAAAAAATTGGGTAACTGTTCACAAATGACCCTATCTTTAGGGTAGTTTTACACAAAATTTCTTAATGTTTTTCATAGCTTTTTTGATGCAGCAGGCCACACGATGTGGCCTGCTGCCAAGTCGGTAAAAATAACGGATTATGCGCGCATAACGGGGTTACTGTTTCATTCGTATAACGGAGTTACTGGTTTTGTCAGGGTTACTTGTATTTTTTTTTTTCAGAGGTTAGTTGTATTTTTTTTCAGAGGTTAGTTGTATTTTTTTTTTCAGGGGTTACTTGTATGGATTACTTATTCAGAGGTTACATGTATTATTCAGGGTTACTTGTATTATTCAGGGTTACTTGTATTTTTTTAGGGGTTACTTGTATGGATTATTTATTTAGGGGTTACTTGTATTTTTTTTTTCAGGGGTTACTTGTATTTTTTTTTTTTTTTCAAGGTTACTTGTATTTTTTTTCAAGGATTACTTCTATGGATTACTCATTCAGGGGTTACTTGTATTTTTTTTTCAAGAGTTACTTGTATTTTTTTTTCAAGAGTTACTTGTATTTCTTTTTTTAAGGGTTACCTGTATTATTTTTTTTTCAGGGGTTACTTGTATAGATTAATTCAAGGGTTACTTGTATGAGTTACTTATTCAAGGGTTACTTGTATGAGTTACTTATTCGACATGGGTTACTTATATGAGTTACTTCAAAGGTTACTAGTATGAATTACTTATTCAAGGGTTACTTGTATAAATTACTTATTTAAGGGCTACTTGTCATTTATTCAAGGGTTGCTTGTAAGCCCCATACCAAACCAGTAACACCCTACAAGTAACCCTTGAGCAAAACTAGTAACACCTTACAAGTAACCCCTAACCAAACTAGTAACACCCTACAAGTAACCCTTGAGAAAAAATAGTAACACCCTACAAGTAACCCCTAACCAAACCAGTAACACCCTACAAATAACCCTTGACCAAAACCAGTAACACCCTACAAGTAACCCCTTACCAAAATCACTAACACCCTACAAGTAACCTACCCCTGACCAAACCAGTAACACCCTCACTAAACCAGTAACACCTAACATGTAACCCCTGACCAAACCAGTAACACCCTACAAGTACCCCTGACTAAACTAGTAACACCCTACAATTTTTGACGTAGAATATTTGATCTAAGATTCCACGAAGAAAACGAGCTCACATTTCTTTGGTTCTCATCGATTTCACTACTTCAAATGTTGTTGATGATCTTAAGGAAAATTAATCACAATTTTTCACAGCAATTTGACACCCAATTTCTACAATTTTGGGCTTAAATTGCAGCAATTTGGCAAAGAGGAGAGAGAAAATGGGTGGAGTAGAGATATGGTTGTTGGTGATGTGTGGTTTGGGTTGTAGATGAAGCTAAGAAAAGTGGAGAGAGAAAATGGGTGGAGTAGAGATATGGTTGTTGGTGATGTGTGGTTTGGCTTGGAGAAGAAGATAAGAAAAGAGAAGAGAGAAGAGTTGTGGTATTTAAAAAAAAAAGAAAAAAAAATTTGTGGTTGGCCACACCGTGTGGCCAGCCACATACAAAAATTTGTGAATACTGATAGATTATGTTTGTGTTTTTAATTAAATAGAGATATGGTTTGATTAGGGCTGGAGTATAAATAAAGATACAAGAAATATAATTTCAAACCGGCTTTTCTCAAGATGTTGTTCAAAGCAACGTTTTCGAATGAGCGGTTTCATTTTATATATTGATTGCTCTTTAGAAAATAGGATCTTGCTAACGAACGCCCCCGGGCGTTGGATAAGCATTTAAAATCTTACTTAAAGTGGTATTAATTTGGGAAAGCATGACAAAATCACGTGTCGATCGGTGTAATTAATGTTAATTTTAATTTAGTCTTTCTACTTCTAACTAACTTATTGTTAGCATTTGCCTAGAAAATATGGAGCGAAAATAGCATTTTGACTTAACAAAACATCTAAACTAACCCCAATCCGCTCATTTACACCCAAAATACCCTCTAATTAAACAAGGCCAAAGTTTTGTCATAGGTTGCCTCTTTAGTTTTTAAGCGAAGATTTATGCAAATTCTATCATGTTCAAATTATTTTCACTTATCAATAAAAAATTAAAAATATAAGTTCATATAATTAAGGGTTAATAATTCTAAAAAATCATGAAAAATATAAGTGTAGATAAATTATTGAGAAATAAAGGTTACACATATCTATACAAAATATATAGGTAGAACTGTAGAAGAGTGCAAACCCTAAATCCTCAATTTATATTCATTAAAATTATTTCACATATCCTAATGTATATTGAAAAAATTTCCCACACAACCTTCATTTACTATCTTTAAATTGAGAGGACACAAAATAACTTCAGCTTCTCCTACCTAGATTGTCTTTCTTTCATTCTTTGCAAATTGAATAGTTTTAGTGCATTAAAATAAATACATTCTAGTAAAGAAAATCGTGTTGATAGAACACACATGTATTGTGCTTTTATAGTATTATACAGTTTCTCATGTGTAATTTTATTTTAACGTATGATATGTTATCAAGATTATGCAAGTACCCTATTATGTTAATCACTAGATAACACAATGAAGTTCGAAGCTTAACTCTATCTAAAACTCATACTAATATATCATTTCGAGACAGATGACGTATAATTACAATAAATTTATGGTGATGTCGGCATGTATGATAAGAATGGGAAACTATTGTAAAACGAGTAAACAACATGAAGTGTCTAAACCCACCTTAAGATTTGCCTACCACTATAGAAAGGGCATGACCATTTATATATCATCATTAAAATGTTTGACAAAATAGTAATCAATAATTCAGCTCTCATTCTAGTATTTTGGTATTTTTGGAAAACCTACCACTAGATTCTTCGTAATGTACACATGGTAAGCCCTTAAACTTCCCCTTAAAAATTTACCACTATTTAACTTAGTGCATAGCACTATACATTGTTGAAATTGCTAATCTAGTAACTATATAGCACGTACCATCCCATATCTTAGTGCTTAGCACTAAATATGGGAGGGTTTATTTTAACGAATACGCACTATAAATGGATGAAATTATATCTATTTAGTAATTAGAACATACACGTGGCACTTCAAAACTTTGTCAACCCATAGCTTCATTGACATTATTTATAGATTTGTGTGGGACCTAGTTTAACACGTACTTATGCATGTTCATACTATAACCTTATCTACGTCTCACTATAAATAAGGAGCTCTTGGTTAAGAATCAAGTGTAAAACTAAGCTTTTCTTCTTGCTAGTCACTTCTACATACATTAATTTAAGTTGAAGGAAAGAGAGGATAATAAGCTTAGAAAGAGAGTTATATACATTGTGTTATTGAAATAAACACTCAATCACATAGTTGATACTTTGAAGTGTAATAATCTTGAGAGAGAAAAAAAATAGTAATGGGGAGGGTTTCGTTGTATCTTAACATGCTAGTTGTACTATTATGTATGCATTTTTTGCTTATTGAAATAGTACAAGGAAGAATGGCAAGGGAAGATATTATTCTAAGGAATGAACACAATAGATATGGAGATCATGTAGGAGTATGTGTTGGTAGTGATGGGAAAACAGATGGATGTGGTTACGTAGGTGAAAGTGGTGGTGGAAGTAGAAGAGAAAAAGGTGGAGGAGGAGGTGGAGGATTAGGAAGTGGTGCAGGTGGAGGTTTTGGAGCTGGAGGCGAAGTTGGAGGTGATATTGGTGGAGGCGCAGGTGGGGGTGTTGGTGTTGGAGGTGGAGTAGGTGGTGGTGCTGGAGGCGGAATCGGTGGTGGTGGAGGAGGTGGAGGGCAAGGAGGTGGAAGAGGTGGTGGCGGAGGGGGTGGAGGAAGTTTTGGAGGAGGTGGTAGTGGTTCTGGAGGTGGAGGGGTCGGTGCTGGTGGCAGAATTGGAGGTGGGGGAAGTGTTGGAGCTGGAGGCGGGGTTGGTGGTGGAATTGGAGTAGGAGGAGGAATTGGAGCTGGTGGAGGTGTTGGAGGCGGTGGTGGACGAGGAGGTGGTGGTGGCGGGGGACAAGGAGGTGGTGGTGGACGAGGAGGTGGTGGTGGCGGGGGACAAGGAGGTGGTGGCGGTGGAGGAGGTGCTGGTGCTGGTGGTGGATTTGGAGCTGGTGGGAGTGTTGGAGGTGGAGGTGGAGTTGGTGGTGGTGGAAGAGGTGGTGGTGGTGGAGGTATTGGTGCTGGAGGGGGAGTTGGGGTAGGTGGCGGTGGAGGCGTTGGAGGTGGAGCTGGTGGTGGTGGTGGAGGTATTGGTGCTGGAGGGGGAGCTGGTGGGGGAGTTAGGGCAGGTGGCGGTGGAGGCATTGGAGGTGGAGCTGGTGGTGGTGGAAGAGGTGGTGGTGGTGGAGGTATTGGTGCTGGAGGGGGAGCTGGAGCTGGTGGGGGAGTTGGGGTAGGTGGCGGTGGAGGTGGAGTTGGTGGTGGTGGAAGAGGTGGTGGTGGTGGAGGTATTGGTGCTGGAGGGGGAGTTGGTGGAGGAGTTGGGGTAGGTGGCAGTGTTGGAGGTGGAGGTGTTGGAGTAGGAGGTGGAGCTGGTGGACGAGGAGGTGGAAGAGGTAGTGGCGGTGGAGGTGGAGGCATTGGTGCAGGTGGTGGTGGAGGTATTGGTGCGGGTGGTGGAATTGGTGGGGGTGTTGGCGCTGGAGGCGGAATAGGCGGGGGAATTGGAGGAGGTGCAGGTGTAGGAGGTGGTGCTAGAGCTGGAGGTGGCGGTGGTGGAAGAGGTAGAGGTGGAGGAGGTGGCAGTGGAGGAGTTGGCGGCGGCGCTGGGGTAGGAGCTGGTGGAAGTGTTGGGGCTGGAGGTGGTGGTGGAGGATCTGGTGGTTTAGGGGGTGGAGGTGGAGGTGGTGTTGGGGGAGGAGGTGGTGTTGGGGCCGGGGGTAGTATCGGTGTCGGAGGTGGTGTTGGAGCTGGGGGTGGTGTAGGAGGTGGAGGAGTTGGAGGCAGTGGTGGAGGATCTGGTGGTTTAGGGGGTGGAGGTGGAGTTGGCGGTGGTGTTGGAGCTGGAGGTGGGGTTGGGGCTGGGGGTAGTATCGGGGTCGGAGGTGGTGTCAGTGCTGGAGGTAGTGTAGGTGGTGGTGGTGGAGGAGGTGTTGGGGTCGGTGGTGGTGGTGGTGGCGGTGTTGGAGGAGGAGGCGGTGTTGGTGGAGGTGTTATGTCTAGGGGTAGAAATAGCCACAAAAATGTCGAAGAAGTTAATCCATAAGTGTTGTTATTGCCACGTGTTGAGTTACTACACGTAGCCTTGTCATAGTATTGAGTTACTATACATACCTGATTGTATGTATAAATAAATAATTATATAAATAAATATGGCATACAAGGCAAATTAGATAAAAGTGTTATACTATGTACAATTATTTACACCTTTATCTTTAGCTATTTCAATTATATCATCATATTTCATATGTGTTCATCCTTTACATTATTTTAAATTTTTTTAAAAAAATACTAGATAGCACTTTCTAACAGACTAACATAATTCATTAAACTTCTTCCCTCCAATTTAAAAAATACGAAATATCAATGTATTGTGGTTGATTCAGGATTTTATGGATGATAGGTTATCAATTCACCACGCACCGTCCATCAATGATAATACAAACTACAAAGTATCAATCAATAATAATACAAAATAAAAATCAATACATCACAAAGAGTCATTCTAAGAATAATACGAAGTAAGTATTACCACCTTCGTTTCTTTTTAAATATTTTTTTTTAGGATCGAAAATAAGCAAAAAAATAAAAATAAAAATATTGTTTGTACTTTGAATCCAATCTGAGTGTATATAAAATCTAAATCTTCATTTTGATATTATGCTAATTGTTAGAGATAAAGTTAGAAATATTATTTACCATTATTTATACACCATATGAAAGATATTATTGGGTGTAACTGTATATAACTATACAAGAATCAATCTCTTTAATGTGATATTATGCAAAAAAAAAAAAAAAAAAAAATTGCATCTATAACATATTGTTTTTTATATAGTTTGGGTCATTAGGTTGGGCTTGATACTTTGACTGGGTCTTTTTGAATTTGACTTAATTAGATAAAAACTAGATGAAGCCCGTGCGATGTACGGTTTGTTTGATTTTTTTTAAAATAATTTTTTTTTGTATTAATGTGCTAAAATTTGTTATATATTTAGATAAAATTCCTAATATAAAAAAAATATATAATATTTAATTAGTTTAAACTTAAAAATTGTATTCGCCAATTTTGCTTACGTGAGATTTGAATTATTTAATTATAAAAGAAATATAATAATCTCTTATTTGATTGACTACAACAAAAATTTATAATCCTATGTGGCACTCTAAGAAAATTAGATCCTAAGTGGCTCTCTAAAAACTCGGGAAAAAACTCCCCTTTATATATATATATATTAGATTGTATAACAAGGTTGTCAGAATGTCAAGGTGTCAATTTAGATCGTTAATTTGGGTTTGATTGAGTCTATTTGGATTAGGTCTGTATTGAATTTGAATCACGTTGAACCATATTGATAATACAGGTCGAAATCTAAATCAAATAATTTTTAAGTTTAAATTTAGTTAAGCTAGAAAAAGTCGATCTTTGACACCCCCATAAACTGCATGAACAAAGAAACATGGGAGGACATCCATCGGGGGTGAGCATGGGACATTTACCCGTACCGTTAGTACTAACAGTTCGGGTACCCGATAACAAAAATCACTAAAAGTGATAACTATAACCGAACCGATAAATTTGGGTACCCAGATTTTTAGATCGGTTATCGGATACCCAATAAGATATCAAATAATGATAATTAAGGTTAATAATGTAGTTATTATGATACCATTTAACACTAATTAACAACAATACCACATTATCTTGACCAAATTATTAATAATATTACTAATCATTTATATTAAAGTGATTATGAAGTAAAGTGTAAGAATTTAGATTTTAAAAAATAGATTTAAGTAGGGAAAAAAAAAACAAAAAAAAAAATGCTTATCAGATCAGATCGGATCAAGTAACTGTTAATTTTAAAATGACATCCAATAATCATATCCGATAACAAATTACCGAAATAAATACTTGAATCGCTATGGTTAATGGATCGGATACCCTAATTTTTGGAAGGTTACGGATCGAATTTTCGAAACGGTTATGGATCGAATTTTCGGGTAGTTTGCTCGGCCTTAACATCCGTGGCAAAATTCTAGTCATCAAAAGGATACAAAATTTCAGCCTCAATCTTTCTACCATTCCAAAAATAAACGAAAAACCCCGCAAAAAAAATAAAAAAAAAAATAAAAGGAAGATATGCTCCAAATCAAACTGTTTAACATTAACTTCCACCATTGATGAATCTTCTTTGCTGATGTACTTCACCTTCACTTTATACTCCATAAATCCATGGCTTCCGTGGCCCCATTTACCCTTTTTCTGAAATGGGCTCCCCATAATTTATCTCTCCAAAGTTGTAGGAGTAATTCCTCCAAATTTTCACAAAAATTTCTGGGTTTTGGGAAGGTTTCTTCTCTATCTATTTATGGTAATGGGTTTAGTAGTAGTAGAAGAAGAAGTATTTTTACTTGCTCTGCTTCAAATAATGAATCCAATTCTTCAGATGAAATCAGGTTTTATTTGGTTAATTTTGAAATTTCCTTAATTTTTATTTTATGTGATTTTATTGTGGTTGTGTTATTTTGAGAAATTGTTTTTTATTTCACAGTAATGTGCTAAAAATGTTGGATTATGATGCTGTTTAATGTTTACAGAGAAGGGAATTTGAGATTAATTTGAATGATCATAGTTAAGAAATAATTTAGTGAAAGGTTTAGATGAAGCTTTTGACTTGTTTAAGGTTGTTTGTGGAAATATTATGGGTGTATTGATAATTTAAAATGTCGAAATCTTGTACGTGGGGGACTTATAATAAATTATTGTAAGTTCGCCTCACCTAAGACTTGTTAAAGCCAGCCAAAAGGTGTATTGCATATATATGCTTGCTCTTCTGAAATTTGTATCTTGTAATTTTGGAAATGTTCCATACATTTCTATATAGACAATTCAGAGATTAGTCTCGGTAATGTTACTAAAGCTTCAAAGGGTCCAATATTTCTATGTCAAAAGGTACTGTAAGTTGAAATGATATGGAGATGATTATGTATTAATATGTCTATCATGCCTTACAAGTTACAAACAATAGCCACTACTCAAACAGAAACAACTATGTACTTCCTAGCCATTCCTTATCAGAACCAGAAACCTTCTTCCCTAATATGCCACTGATCTTCTAGTTGATCTGAGTATGGAACTATGGATATCGTGATAAATCACTTATTGTAGTCATTTTATAGATGCGGATTGCATGTCCGATCCCACATGGCTTCATTACAGTCACACTGCATTTTATACAATGTCGCAGCTACAACAGCTGCAGCAATATTTCTTCTGCCCTGGGATCTTCTATTCCTCCTGGTTTCATTTCATAAGCAATTAAAAAGTACTCGTAGTGGTTTCTTCCTTGATTCTTTTCAGCCTAGGACATATGTCAGTCTCACTTGTATGGAGGTGAACCGTGAACTCTTTGCCTACTTCGTACTTTGAAGCCTTCTTTAACATAGCTAGCCAAATAATATATATGTGCCAAGTGTAGAGAAGTGATTGCAAACATACTTGCTCCATTGCAACTTATTCCCAGGACCTAGAAATTTTGTATAGGTTCTAGCAATCTTATACAAAGTAATATTGATCACTAGACCATCTATCATCCCTTAGTGCCACTATCAAATATTTAGATACATTTTCAGGTCCTTGATATAGACTGTATGAATGTAATTGTGTTGTGACATGTTGAGTTCTAAGCTGATATACATGTCTTTCCGACAGTGTTGCTGACTTAAATGCTTGCCCTTTTGTCTAACTTGATTAATGCTTTTCTTATCAGGTTGTGATTTCCAAGTATGGCTTCCCTGTATTCATGATTTTATTTGTTCTTCAGTTCTACAGCCAAGATAAGGAGTGAAGTTCTTACTCCTTTCCGCTCTGTTCGAATGTTCTTTTACCTTGCTTTCATGGCAAGTGGTGGCTTGGGTACTTTAATAGCTGTAACACAACTGATTGGTGCTCTTGCAAATCCATTCAGAGCAGATGAAGTCCCTGAAATTCTCAAGGGTCTTGGCATAGACGTGGCCGCAGTTTCTATCTTTGCCTTTCTATATAGTAGAGAGAACAAGGCCAAAAATGCACAGATAGCAAGACTTTCAAGGGAAGAGAACCTCTCTAATCTTAAGGTCCGTATTGTTGATCAGAAGACGATTCCAATTAGTTCATTAAGAGGGATTGCTCGCCTTGTTATTCTTGCCGGTCCTGGTTCCTTTATCGCTGAGTCCTATAAGCTTAGTGAACCTTTCACTGAGAGGCTTGTGGAGCGAGGGGTACTCGTGGTTCCATTTGCAACTGATGGAGAGCTTCCTACCTTTGAGTTTGATGAGAGTGAAGATATGAAGGATTTGACTAGCAAAAGGAAGAGGCTTTGGCAATTGCTGCCTTTTAATATATCTGAATGGTCCAAGTAAGGATCTATTTGTGGAGTCCATTGTTTTCAATATTTGTTACCCTCCTCTCTTTTGTTTTCTTAAAATTTTTGTTTTTCTTCTATACAGGTGGATAGATGAACAGAAGAAGCTAGCAAATGTCTCCTCTGATTCTCCAGTGTAAGTACTGTAGCACAGAGCCCCGAAGAAAGCTCCCCTCCCCTTCAGACTACATATTCTTGACTTTAGCTTTCTGTTGCAGCCTGCTTATGTTTTTCCTATGTTTGGAACAGATAATCCTTTGTTATTGTTGTAGGAAATCTAAATGCTTTTGCAAACAAAGAGTCCCCCAAGAGGCCCAAGTTGATCCTTTTTTCCTGTAATCATGATCTTTTTGCCCCGATGAACTCAATAGTAATTAATAACTACCAGAATCCACATGAAGTCTTGCTACTTTATGAAAAATCCTACATGGCGTCACCTATCCTACAAAGCAACTTTTCTTAGGAATGTTATCAATGAATTGTGCACTTTAATGGAGTGTTTGTCTTGTTAAGCCACCATACACCAGCTATGTTAATAAATTTTATGAATGAAAGGAATTAGTCAAACTACATAATAAAACTCAGTTTATGGTGTGTAGCTTTGTACTCTTTGGTCTTTGTTAAGCACAAATATTGGTGAACCTGCAAAGTATCAGAACAACTGAACTAGGCAACCCATTCTGTCCTGTATGTACTGTGCATATACAAGCTGATACTATGAGGCTTTGGAAGATTCTATTATTTCTAAATTCTCAGAATTTGCATAAAGGCTTATATGCATCATTTAACATCTACAGGTATATGTCCCTACGCATGGATGGTCGTGTCCGTGGAAGTGGAGTTGGTTACCCACCGTGGAACGCTTTTGTAGCACAGCTACCACCAGTAAAGGGTTTGTGGTCAGGCCTTCTTGATGGCATGGATGGAAGAGTTTGATAGGGTATTCTTATTCTTTGTTTGCAAGGTTAGCTTTTACTTGTAAATTGTATCAATTGGCAACAGCCATTTGTATGTGTCGAGTCTGTACTTCAGCTTGGTAGTATCCACCGCCTGCACAAAACACTAAATGCAACACTTAATTTATTAGTCATTTATTGATACTGGACTCCACCAAAAACAAAAACAAAAACAAAAATCTTTGTACACAAAATGCAATTTGGTCAATACTTCTGACCTCCCAACTGATCTTATAGCTCGTGTATGCTTTCAACAATTTCGTTTTATCTGTGCTATCTGGCTCTATGTTGCAGACTTGCAGTATCTTCAAAGTAGGCAGGATAAGTATATGTGTTTTAAAGACAAAAGAATTATATCAGCTGAAAGTCCTGTAACAAAGGTAGGATGAGATATCGAAGGGTAATTTAATTATCATCTTTAGGAAATTCTATAATCAAATTTCAACTTAGGAAGAAAATATATAGTGGTCTGGATTCTGAAATCTAGACGTACCATGTAATCTGTGAGTAAAATGTTTGGAATTTGTGAGTTCTGGATTATAAAACAGCCAAACAAATTGTAGATATATAATGTTTGGAATTTGAGAATTCTGGAGCTCCTTCATTTTACTCGTATATATCCGCATTTCTGAAGCCAAGATCTTAGTGTAGGCTTGTTACCTCAATTCTAGGATAAATTTTTTGTTATGACATGAGTTTTAGCAGCAGAGCAATGTTACAGAATTGACGATGGTTTTGCCTCTGACCTCTTTTCCTCAAACGAGAACAAATTCGTTTACGAGATTATTAATAAGGGACATAGGGTAACACGAGAATTCTTATGGCCTAGTAACCAACTGTGTGCGCCTCAAGTTACCGAGTTAAATGGCAAATGAGGCTTGGCTCACAGGGGATTGTGAGCTGATACTAGATAAGATCACAAGACTGTTAGTGAGCTTGTTTCTTGTGCACATTGTAATATTTTATGCTAGTCGAATGCAATGTAAATGAAAAGTAAGTGTCGAACTTATCCCTATCTGTGTTGCACTGCTGCTGCTTGAAGAATGCGGCATATTGTGTTGAAAATTCATTAAGATGTACAACAAGAATAAGTGTTACCAGTTTGCTACTGATTTTTTTAGAGTTGCTATGAATACACGGGGAAGTTTTGGGGTTTTCTTGGTTAAATTATGGGTAATTTAGGAAGAAAGATCCCTGAGACTCTGAATTTGATCATCTTTGAGATTATTCCCTGAGACTCTGAAATTAGAAATTGCAGAAGAAGATTTAACTCACAAATTCCTCTGAAATGTATGATATCATTATTCTGCTATGTCAGAATTGTTTTCTATCTGTTTTGCATAATCTTGTTAGTTCTTCACTACTCCTGTACTGCTACTAACTCTGTTGAAATAACTTCTGACCATAAGCTACTTCTACAACTCCGCACCGCTTACATTACAACAAATCAAAACTCAGAAGCAGCATTTATAACAGATTGACAGTTCAGTTCGACTATCTATCGCTTTCATAGGAGTAAATAGCAGCACGCGACAGGTTAGAGATTGCTATAAATATGAAAAGAATATGGTTAATATTGTGGATGATGAGGAGCATATATGAGCAGTTTTCATGGGCAAGAAATTGATATTCAAAAGTAGTAGATTTACATTGGATAGACAGTAGAATAGCTCCTAATTCATCTAAATGTTTGGAAATTTCACAAACTTATAGCAAAAGCACATATATTAATATAGTTTGCTTATGCAACTTCAACTTCTTGAATCTCATCCAGTGCATAGTTGTTGGTTGATACATTCGCGTAGTTCACCTTGTTGAATCTCACCACAACTGGGTATCTTGTTTTTGGGTCCTGCATATTGAAAATTACCTAGTTATATACATGTGTTTTCGAAAAAACTGAAAAACTGCAGTGATACCGAAGAGGCCTGATAATAGATGAAAGTTCGAGGGCAGAGATTATTAACCTGGTCGACAGCAACCACGTTGCCAACACCCTTGTACCAGTATGATTCCTTCCTCAAGATTCTCACCTGCAATGTACCAATTTTGAATGCAGTTAATCATCTCTTTTATGTTCATATATTAGTACACAAATATTTCAGGATGCTTTTTCTTCCTGAGGTAGTTTTACTCCTATTCTTCGTGTTCTGCAAACTGAAAATCTTAGTTTTTCTAAACAGGTACTGAACCATGACAATCAGGAGTTCAAGATGCAGGAACACCGTGAGATCATCTCACTCGAAAACTTATTACTTTTCTATAGATTGTTGTATTGATTTCATATTGGCAGTTACCTCTTTACTTTCAAATTCACAAGTTCATAATACAATATGTTACGAATCAACAACTTAAGCTATTTTAGTTCATAGAATCATCAGGATTAATATTCTTTGATATGTTGTATGGTCAGAAACTAACTCAGCAGTCAGCACCTTTGTTATTATTAGTATAAATCATTCCAAAGATTTATATTATAAATCCAATTTGACAACCGTTTTAAGCTAATTGTTTTTTTTTTGGTTCATAAGATCGAGTAGGATGTAAGCAAACATAATCAAGAGAACAAGTCGAGCCATCTAATACCAATCTGATAACACTAACACTTAACATAGTAATCAATATGTTTATATGATACCGTATCATCCAAACATATTATATATGCGTAGTGACAAGAACAGAATACTAACATGGTATCATAGCCAAAGTTAACTTGATATACAACAACTAATACAAGTAGCAATTAAAAAAAAAAACAATAAATTTACCTTAGAACCCCTCTTAGGTCCAATTGGAGGTGGCTTAGCAGCAGCTTTAGGCTTGGCCTCACCTTCGGGTGTGGCGGGAGCGGGTGCAGGAGCAGCAGCAGCCTCATCAGCTGCCCGAACAACCAACCTAGTACTCCTTGGTGATGACAAGTTTTTGTTAGACAACACAGGAGCAAACCCAAGACGAGCAGCTACTGATGATGCTATACTAGCCATTTTTTTTTTCTTTTTTTTGTTACAAGAAAATAAAATTTATGTAAGTTGAAGAATTAAGTATGTGAAAATGAAGGAGTGCCTTGAACTAGAACTAGTAGTTGTAGCAATGTAGTGGCGTTGGTATTATTCATGATCCAAAAGCTTTTTTCTGTTTTGGATTTTTGTTTTGGATTTTGGTTAAAAGATTAGGGAGGAAATATTATTTCAACCATTGGGAGTTTGCCATTTGTCTTGCCATATCTCATTTATGTGGTTTATCTTATTGCTGTTATCTTTTTCTTTGCTTTCAGTATGGCCACGGTGCTCATTATTATGGTTCAATTTTGTAATTTTAGATTTTTTTTACTTATTTATTAATTTATTTTTATATACAACTTAGGCTTTGTTTACTTCACCTTAAAAAATAATATTCAATAAAAATAATTTCATTGCAGTAAAAATAAATTCAGTTTAACAAAAATAATTTCAGTTCAGTAAAAATAATTTCAGTTCAGTTTGAATACAAATTAATTTTAGTTCATTAAAAATAATTTCAGTTCAGCAAAAATAAGGTGAAGTAAACGGGCCTTTGTCAGGTTTTTTTTATATATATATATATATCAAAATAAAATGTATTATTCTATATTGTGAAAAAAATTCACAAGTTGCACTCACTCCATTCTTGAAAGTTTGACTCGCTTTGCAATTAAGTGGTATCCAATGTGCATTTTTGACCAATAATAGATTTAGATATGTGTAAAAGAGAATTATAATAGTTAATATATAGAGATATTACATTAAGGAGAATCTAATAAGATCTCGCATGCTAATTTATATCTATAATATAAATAAAAAAAATATGGTTAAATTTATTAAGTCTTACCATATAAATAGTAAATGAGTCAAACTTTCGTCAACGAAGGTTGTATATAAAGTTTTTTAGATTAAGTCATAGTAAAATACAAAATATTATATTTCTATTTCACTTTTACAATTTGACTTGGATAGTTGGATGCATAATGCATTATGAAATTTTATATATGTACACTAATCTTATGATCCGTGTGTTAGTATAACAACATAAGTATGGTTGGTTAAAATTTATGTTGGAGTTGTGAGAGCAAGGTACAATCCAAGTATCCAAAACAAAGAAACTCGATAAGTCGATAATTTTTTTTTTTTTTGACCGGTAAACTACGGGGAGGGGGCCCTATCCCTATCACAGGAATGGGGCTGTGAGAAGTCGAACCTTCATCACATGGGGGGAGATGGAGGGACTAACCATCCCTCCATCCCCTCACTCCTCACTCGATAAGTCGATATGCTACAACATGACATGTTACTAACTTACTATATTCATTTTTGGTTGTGAATATGCGAGCCACATCTGGAAAAACCCAACATGACATAAACTAATGAACATAATTACATAAGCACCACACATTTTGATACATTGGGTATGTTTGTGCTTGGTTGCTGCCCTTTTGAAATATTAGGTGCAATGTATTATTGGACTATTCCGTGCCTTGCCTAGACAACCCTAAGGCATGCAAGTTTGGCACGCATGAGCAGAACACGATATAGTCTAGATTTATCTTTAGAGGATAAACATGTGGCAATTACGGTTATTAGCCACAATTTTCATTAAGTATTTCCTTAGATTCTTAGCATTTTGACTTTTGCAATATTCATATATTTTACTTTGACTTTATTTTGTAATATAGTTTCGTGTACTCTAGTACGTTAGCATTAAGTTATACTTTTACTTTTAACAAGTCAACTTCTTAATATTCTATTTAGTGACAATAAAGTTCATCAGATATTAAAATAATGTATATTCACAAGTATAAATGGAAGTGTTTCAAATATTATGAACCGTAGGGTCGGTGTATGCATAATGGGTAGAGCCGTAAAAAACTGACCCGATACTACAATTCTTCAAAAATCAAAATACTGAATCCATAAGTACCATTATCTAATCGATCAGTGTAACCGATCATAGACCTAGTTTGGTGGCTTTACTTATTATGATGGGAGGAGCTTTGGGGAGGGGACACAATTACACAAAGGACTATTGACTTAAAGTATTTGGGTCTTGTAGAATTGATTTTGGATCTTATTTTCCCCATTAAAATTCCTAATATATCAAAGCACTCATATATCTAACTTAGGGTCTGTTCTCATAGACTGACTGAACTCAGCTGAACGAAACTGAACTGAGCTGAACTGAATTGAAATGAGCTCAACTGAACTGAACTGAATATTTTATAAGGGAAGAAAATTAGGAGTTGAACTGAACTAAACTGAAAATAAACGTATGAGAATAGACCCTTAATTAAAATTGGATCCTATTTTCTATGGATTACCTTTGCATTAAATATCATATGAGAAGCAATATTTGTCATCACTGTCATTGCACACAAGAAAGGTGGACAATACTACAAATCTACAATAGTGCGTTTACTTATATAAGATGTTCCTTTTTTTTTTTTTTTGGCTGGCTGCAGATGTTCCCTTAAATTTAAGATGATATTCCACACTCCGAAGTAACCAGTCTTAGATGTATACTTGTATGTATTAAATGGGTCAAATAACAAGATTAACAACAATGCAACTCATTGCCCAAAAATAAAAAGTGATGAACCCTACCCTAAAATGCTACTCATTTAAGTGTGGAGGGTTAAGTTTAAGATGTATTCAAACAGTTATATAAATAATCATAGTGTATCAATTTTGATTTCAAATCATCTATGGAGTAATATCAAATATAGATTTTAGAGATGAAGTGTTCAAGGTTTAAACCCTATATAATTCACCTATAAAAAAAAAAAAAAAACCGTAAAAATAAGTTCAGTTCATTAAAAGTCAGTAATTTCAAATAAGAAAAATATAATTTTAGTATAAGATGAAATGAACGGGACCTTAGACTAGACATTATCAACACTATAAATGTATAATCAATACAGTCAGTCACACATATAATTTTTATCACGTCTATTAATTTCTCAAATGAAATTTGCTACTCAAGTCTTTAAGTACCAATAATGTACCATGTATGAAAATATTCCATCGTTACCGCTCTTTGTTGCTCCAATGCCCTTCATTAGGTAGATTAGACGACTAAAATTTGAAATATTAACTTAAAATAAACATTATTTATACAAATTAATACGTGATTTTGACATGTATTTCAAAATCAATATAATTTCAGAAAAGTATAGTAATTTGTTATCAAACGCCCCAAAATGCTGATTAACATGTTTCTTTATATTGAGTATTAGAAAATTTCTATTTAGGGTCTGTTCACACTTACTTAATTTCTGTTCAATTTAGTTCAATTCAGCTCTAATCAGTTCAGTTCAATTCAGCTCTTAATTTTTTTCTCTCATAAATATTCATTTCATCTCAATTCAGTTTAATTCAGTTTAATTAAATAGGCCATTAATCCTCAGCGCATAACTTTATTAAAATTAAAATTTTATACGTAACCGCTAGTGTTGCCCATTTTTACAAAAGGAGAGTAATTACACCCATGACCATGTACCAAAAAGTCGGACATTCAACATAACTCTCCTCTTTCTTTCTGAGTTTCCCATTGAAACGCACTGAATGTTCTCCATTAGAGCGACTTGTGATATTTGTATCTTCCATTGAAGCAGCTTCTGAGGTAATCATCGTATATCAATTTCACAATCTAGGGTTTATCGTTTATTTAATTCTCAGTATACTCAATTCAGTGTTCTTCGCTTGATTTGATACTTGAATCTAATTTGCCTTTAATGTTAGAATTTAACTATGAAATTGGACCATTTCTCCCAAAATTTGATAATTGAATCAAATTTGACTGCTAATATATTGCACAACCTTTTATGAAATTCCTATGTTCAAATAATATGGTTATTGATGATTAAACTTTTTGAAATTGTAATTGCATTTAGAATGATCACATTGGAAAGTTTTTGATTTTAGGTAATTTCTCAAGATAATGGTGTCTAAGACTGTAATCTTCACATAATATGAATGGAGTATGTAAACTACTTTATTATTCTTGGATGCTTGATACTTTGAATTTCACACTCTACTTTGTTAACGTTCTTAACTAATTGCCTGCTCTGATTCTTAAAGATGGTTTTGTATTATAATTCATGTTAGCCGACCCCAAATCATTTTAGAAATATCGAATATGACGTTGTTGTTGTTGCTGTTATTGTGTTACTAAATAGCTTTCCTATATTGATTTCAATATTAATCAGCAATCACATACATACATTGATGAGATTCTTCTGGAAATGCTTCCTGGTTTAAGAATTTTTCAGCAATCAGGACATTGATTGCTAATATTACCACAGAATATCACGTATTGTCGTTCTGCATATTGAGATAACATATCTTGTTGGACAATGTATGTGGGTAATTGGGGTATAGCACAAACATAATGGTTGTTACTTTGATCTTTCAAATAGAATGAAGGCGAAAAGAGTGAGGTTCAAGGACTCTGAAATTGAACCGGTTGATTATGCAAGCAGTAGATTTGATGCTTGTTCTGCACCATGTGAACCAAGAGAAGACCTGACAATGTATGTATGATATCTAGAAACCGAGTTACTTAGCATTGCTTTCAATTTCAGTCTTCTGATTTTGTGGATGTAGTGAGGCATTTGTGTTGCACCTGTAACACGCTCTTCATCTGATGCATTTAGGCCACCTGCAGCTTCAAATGAACCAAAAACCTCCGAGTTTGCATTTTTTAAGAGATTAAAGAAAGCTGTTGGCCACACTTCCTGTCAAAATACACTGAACAGACACAGCATGCCCGTGAGGAATTGTGGACCGACCAACCACGCTAGAGGTAGCTACCTCACTTATGCCTTCTTAAAAATAGTTAAGAAGTTCAAAACAATGAGCTTGCAGTGGGATCTTAGTAAGCTTTTTCGGTTTTGATGATACCAAATTTATTATATATGATATGCTATGCAGAGTTGGATAAAATGAAACTTACGGATGTAAAATCTTCACAGCACAGTAAGAAGCCTACAAATGGTGAAACTAACTCCTTCCTCTCTTGTAGAGATGCTGCTGTGGAAAGTTCAGGTGCGGGGCATTGAATTAATTTGTTTTTATACCACATTTTGTGATCTAAGCTACTCACTACTCA